ATATATATATATATATATATATATATATATATATATATATATATTTGGAAAACAGAAGACAATGACATCATTCAGCTTTGAATGATTGTTACCTGGCTTTTTTCTGGCTCTGCCCAACACTGTTGGCAGGCCCATATATAACACATATTCCTTGATATCCCCCAGAGACTTCCATACTTCCCTCACCTGAAAATTCTCTGCATCTTTCTTTATAGTTCAGTCATTACTTGTTCCTCTTCTAGGCTTCCTTCCCCAGACTCCCTTTCAGACTTAAAAAATTAATATCCCACTTTGCCTCATAGAAATTTTAGAATTTCTGTAGTCATACAGTCCATGTTCCCTTCCCTTCCAACCTATTCAGCACCTTGTGTTCTCCCAGCACCCTAACCACTCATCCATCAAATGTCTCTTGCTCCTCAGTCCACTGTCCTTAACAGTTGTCCATGCTACCCCATTTACCAATCTCTGCTGACTCCCCTTGAATCTCCTGAATATTAACTTGCAATGAAGTTGAATTTTCTTTCAAAAGAATCAAAGCAGTCCTCAGTTAAGATAACATCAATTCCCAATTCCGTGCTGCAAAGCCCAAATCCTGTTTTGAGATTTGTTCACATCTAAACCAAAATCTATTCCAACTTGAAGGGCCAACCTTAACTTTGATCTCAATGATCTTAAGACAAGGTAGTGATAGAATGCTTTCACTTGAGTAAGCTGTTATTTCTAGGGGTGTGCAAAACGGGCCCTATTCGATTCATATTCTTATTTGGTCCAAGTCAGGAACAGTGATTCGATTCGTTAATTTGGATCACTGTCTCCAATTCGATTTGGCCAAATCTGAATCTGAAAATTCGATCCTGATTTGGAGAATCAGTGATTCGGCCATAAACACAGCTTTAAATGTTTTTTCTACATACCTCGAGGTATCAAGTGTGGCTTGTGAATGCTACGATTCTGGGGTGGATGAAGTGCAGGGGGGGGCATGTGCTCGGTGGCAAACCTGGAAGTGGACTGAAACTACTTCTGCTCGATTTCTGGGTCTGCTGGGGAGTGTGCTTGCCCCCCCACCATGCCTCTCCGGCTCAGCAAGCAGCCACGGGGGGACCCTGGGTGCCCCCCCAGACTCAGGAGGCACCAGTCGTCAGCGCTTTCTGGTGGACCTGGAAGTGGACCAGAAGCACTTCTGGTCCACTTCCAGGTCTGCTGCCGAGCACGATGGGGAGCCCCCTGCGCTCCTGTGGAATGCTCCATGCAGCCCATGATCTCACGAGCTGCCTGCTACCTTGAGGTATGTAGAAAAAACATTTAAAGCTGTGTCTATATCCAAATCACTAAATCTTTCTGAATCTTTCTGAATTGATTTGGAGGGTTAGAATTCAATTTGGAGAGGTTAAAGGGTTTCCTGATTCGATTCAGAGATTTGGCCACCAAATCAGGCCAGATCTCCACCGAGCTGAATCAGGGATCGAAGCTTCACACATCCCTAGTTATTACTGTCTTTAAAAGGTTGCAATAAAAGTTGTAAATTTGAGACTACCATATTTTCTCACATATAAACATCCCCCAGATAAAACATGCATCTTTGATTTTGGAAGCCAGAATTTAGGGAAAAAAGATTTTTTTCTAGGGTCATGACTGACTGTGTGACATAGAGTAAGTGTTCTTGGAAACAGTGTCCAGGGAATGTGACATTTCAGGAAAGAGTCTGTATGAGGCAGCAGGATGCAGGAACTTCCTGGTGTGACAAGAATCCCATGCCATTGGGTGGTGGTATATTTTGGGTGGTAAAGCACATACATTAGAGTTGGTGTTAAAATGAGTATTGCTTGGCTGTGGATTCATATGCATGTGTACATGGTACACATATATTTTATTTGCAGTTTATTTTTAAGCAGACATTGTGTTAAAGGGAACTTCATATGAATCCCAGTAATTCATAGATTCATAGGTGTTAGGGTCGGAAGGGACCTCAGTAGGTCATCGAGTGTGACACCCTGCCCTGGGCAGGAAAGACCGCTGGGGTCAGGTGACCCTAACTAGGTGCTTCTCTAGTCTCCTCCTGATGACCCCCAAGGTAGGAGAGAGCACCACCTCCCTTGGAAGCCCATTCCAGATTCTGGCAACCCTTACTGTGAAGAAGTTCTTTCTAATGGCCAACCTAAATCTGTTCTCTGTCAATTTGTGGCCATTATTCCTAGTTACTGCAGGGGGTGCCCTAGTAAATAGATCATCTCCTATTCC